CTTTATTCGAAAACACAGATTTGGAAGAAAGGGACAGCCACCATGAAATCGAAATTATCATTTGGCATTCAATAATAATGAACTGGCATATGGAGTACTGTAAAGCCGATGAGATCGATAGCTATTTGCCATTGGATTGGGCATGCCATTCAATATGAGTAGGAATAATCGATTCTATAATATAATTGATCTTTCGTATCCGAGTATGCCTGTCTAATAGAGCGGCTACCAAATCCCTGTTGCAGACCACTGCTCAGGGAAATTTGTGTTTGTACAACACCCATAGAGCCCATCTGCGGCTTATACTGCAACTATGTTGTGCGGGCCTTAGTTACAGTTTCTGGGAGGGAGCGCAATATTAGGCATGATCAAGTGTTAACCATGTTTGCCGTAGTCTCTGAATATAGAATCCAGTGAAGTACGTAATGTGTTCAATATCAGAGGTTGGCAGTGAAGATTCGGAGAAAGTAGCAGCTGTTAAGTAATTCCTTAAGTCTTCGATATCAGAGGTTGGCAGTGAATGTATTTTGGGAGAAAAAACAAAATGGCTGCCTTTATACACGTCGGATTGAATATTTTGAGCTTTCTGATTGGTTAACCTTTCTATTGGTGAACTATAAAATGAGTCAGCTCATTTTGATTGGCTCACTAGTACATAGATATATCCCAAAAACTGTAACATCAACAGTCTGAAAAAGCCAGTACACTCAGACCCTCGGTCAAGATGACTTGTCACTTGTTAGCACAGCCATCGACGGCTCCCAGTTAGTTCCGTCTACTAAATTCCACTCGCAACCCGTAGTATTTTTTTCAGGCACTTTACAAAAGTAGCGCACCTGGGGATCGCCTCCCTCAGGCCAATGACATCAGAAGTCACCTTCCTGGCCAAATCGACAGGGTCACATGGTCGGAAGGCGAATGTTCTAAGCTCTTGACCACGTGCCCACGATCTTATAATATAAAACACAATATGGACTTTAGGCATTTATGGACATATAACCCTTTATTTTGAAACATAAAATGTTTATTTAGAAAGTTCAGAGTTTATGAAGAAATTGGATCTTTCTTAAGTTTCAATAGCCGACCCGTGTGACCTGTTGTTTTAATAAGCTGTGAGGCAGAGGTGTCTGTTATTGGTTCATTGATAGGGGTTTGCTACCGTTTTTTAAGAACTCCCTAACTTCTGCGCAGGTATAATGTAAGGACCCTTGGTGGGGCTTGTGACAAGATCTGTACATTGTATTAATCGGTGATGGTCTGTCTCTAATGTAAATACTGTCCCTAGAATATAATAGGAAATATCTCACATACCAATATGGCTGTCAGAGTTTCTTTTCAATGACTGCATAACGCTTCTGTGTCGCTAAGTGAGCGGGTGGTTAGGGCTAGGGTTAACAATCGGACGGCGGTTCCCTAAATGGTCATCTTCTTTTTATAAGTGCTATGTCCATCCAGGACATTGGCAATCATGGTTCTCCACAACATTCTGTCCTTTATAGCTGTCAAATGATTTTCTCTTTTCGCCATCACTCCCAAACCCTCCTCCGCCATACATTCGCTCAAGGTGACCATGCGTCGTTTTCCTTCGTCTTTCTTGCATTCAACGAATCCTGTGAGTATCACATTTTCCAAGACCTCTTTCCTCATTATATGACCTAGAATTTAAAAAAAATCTCCTTCTGATGTTAAATATAAGTGTCCTATTAGTTTCTATTTTCTCTAAAACTTCGTCCTCGCTCATGTGTTCGATCCTTAATATTCTCAGCATCCTTCGGTAGATCCATAATTCTGTTGCTTCAAGCCTCTTCTTCATCTGTGAGGAGATTTTCCAGCCTCACTGCCATATAGGAGAACTGATATTATGTAACAGTTCAGTTCTTTTTCTTTTCTTGTTTCTAACGAAATTTTCTGTTTCTTAATATTTTGCTTAGCTTTTGAAAGGTGCCTTTCCCTATTTCAATTCACGTTCATATTTCAGTGGGAAATGTAAAAGTTCGCGTTCATTCGCGTCATTGGCGGCAGCCATTACTGGCGTTGTTTGCATACATTCGCTGCAGAAATCTAAGCGCGGAAGAATGTAGTTAACGGCTTTTATTTTTTACTGATCTTACTGGTGTCAACTTGTCTCAATTACTGCGCAAGAGAACTATATTGCATGCACAATAATCAAGATAAGTGAATATTTTAATCATAGCTATTCCGCAGTGAATGTATGAAAACAACCCCAGCAATGGCTGCCCGAGACGCTAATGAATCCGAACATTCACTCTTGATAACTCCAAAACGGTAGATTTTATCAAGTTTATCAAGCCAGATTCGAATGGAGCGTGTACAATTACACATAAATGTAAGTGTTTTGGAAATTTTTAATGTGAAAATGCGGGTGCTAAACTTCAAATTAACCATTACTTTTACAAAAATGTATTGCCGGTATTTTTTTTTTCAAATAAAGATTGCTGGTATTTTTTTTTAATTTTATTTAAAAGTGAATACAGATTTTTCGAAAATAAGTTAATGTGGCTAAAATAGGCAAGGTTTCGAAAAGACGAAGCATATTTATTTTGTGTGTAACAGAAACCAAATTAAGAATAACTTGCAGTAACCGTAAAAATTTCGCCGTTTCGCCATTTTAATTCCTTAATTAATCGCAATTCTTTATTTCATGATTGAATAAACGCCCGACTTGTCTTACGACTATAAAATATTCGTGGAAATCTCACCCAATGCATCGTTAAACATTTGGGCGTAACAACTTTTGCAAAATATTACAATAACAATCATAGGCATCAATACAAGGGGGTATTACGTGGTGTAATGATTAACAAGCTTGTCTTTCTAGAATAGTGAGTTCGAATCTCACTAGGTGCTTCACGCATTCGGCCTCTTCCCGAATCTAAGCTACGCTTAGAAAATCATAGGTTACCTAGGCATGGTGTAATCGTTAATGTTTGTCTTTCTAGAACAATTATGATTGAGTAGTGAGTTCGAAGCTCAATCAGTGCTCCATATTTTCGTCCTTGTACCACGTCTAAGCTACGACTAAAAAATCATTGGGCGCCTAGACATGGTGTAATCGTTAATAAGTTTTTCTTTCTAGATCAATTATGATTGAGTAGTAAGTTTAAATCTCATTCGGTGCTCCACACATTCGGCCTTGTGCCACATCTAAGCTACGCCTAGAAAATCATTGGACAGCTGGACATGGTGTAATGGTTAACAAGCTTGTCTTTATAGATCAATTATGATTGAGTAATAAATAACTTTTGGACTTCTTTCACCTCTAAACTACGCTTAGAAAATCATTGCTTTGTGCCACACCTAGCTATGCTTAGAAAATCATTGCCACTTGACACACCTAGCTATGCTTAGAAAATCATTGGGCACCTCGACGTGGTGTAATGGTTAAGAAGCTCGTCTTTCTAGATCAATTACGACTGAGTAGTAAGTTCGAATCTCATTGGGTGCTCCACACATTTGGCCTTGTGCCACATCTAAGCTACACTAAGAAGTAAGAGGGTACAAAATAAAAAAACATTCAAAGCTGAAAAGTTTTTGCATTTTACTGAAGCAGACTTTAAGAGTATGAGAGCGTTATCGCCTCCTCTATTCTTTGTTTATTTCTTTAGTCGTATAGTCGGCACCCACACGCATCCGAACATCGGGGTTGTTATCGTCCCCTCCTAATTCACTTTCCCCTGAGCAGTCAGGAGGGGCCGACTCACCCAAACACGTCCACCACCCACACTCTTCTGTGACACCAACCCACGACTCTTCAAGAGAACGCTAGGCTGGTGTCACAGAGGAGTGTGGGTGGTGGACGTGTCTGCGCGAGTCGAGTCCACCTGACTTCTCGTCGCAAATCCTGTTCATGTTGACGGTTGAACTCAAATGTCTCGAACTCTTAGATGGTTCTACGCCAGGAAGACCGACTTGCAGCAACGGTTTATCAGGTCTCGGAATCGATGTTGGACTGTGTCATGGATGTTTTCAACTCATCCTTGAAGCGTCTTTTTGGGCCTCTTTCTGCTAGCGAATCTTCCAAACAAGATGATACGTGAGAGACAAGTGGGACGCATTCTGGTCCCGTGACCCGCCCCGCAGAGATGATTTATTTCTTTATTCATTCTTATTATTACTATTCGGGAGGCATGGTGGAGTCGTGGATAGTGGTTCGGAATGAGGAATCGGAGAACTGAGTTCGAATTACAGTTGAATCGATTACATTCACTTACGTGCTAATACCTTTGGGCAAGATATGAATCCCCCTCTTCTCCCACCAGCTATGGATAAATAACAGGATAGACTGAGTTCTATAGCCTTGGCTGGCAACTGGTCTACCACAGAACGAAATGGCAACCGACATCGGAAAAAAATTGCCTCGTCAGTCAGCTATCAAATGATACATCATCGTCTCGGCGTGTATCGCGCATAACTCACTAATTAATTGTAATTAATGATTAAAAAAATTAATTTTTTTAATCATTAAAATCAAACAGCACCTCTGATATATTTTTTCATCTGTTCTTGTAATAAAAACGGAATGGTTCATTATTTATCTGAGGCAATGGCAGGGCTTATATCACGTGGTGACTAACTTACTGACGGAGAATTATAATATGATGATGTTTATTCCTATGGTACATATACAGTTTTTGAATTGACGTCAGACAACAGCATTATTCTTGGCGCGAATAACGATAAAAACGCCGCCTGATACCGTCAGAAAGTCTATAATGTCAAGAAATAATTACGTTGCAGCAAGCTTATCATTAAGAAACTGTCGACTGCCTGAGCTTTCACGACTCATAAGATGTCTTCTTTATAGTCTACCTTTGACCTCTGTGGACAAGATTTTGCCTCTGCTGCTCCCAATCCTTTCAGGAAGATGAAGATTGTGATGAAAACTGATGACCAAATGACAGTTGTTTAATGATATTGACGATGAACCTGATGGTCAGGTTATTTCATTTGATTGGGAACTTGAAGGTAAACATTAATATTTACTGAGATTTCACTGAGATGATCTCAGGATATCTGTGTAAGGAAGGAAGGAAGGAAGGAAGGAAGGAAGGAAGGAAGGAAGGAAGGAAGGAAGGAACAAACGAACGAAGGATTGTAGGAAGGAAGGAAGGGAGGGAGGGAGAGAGGAAGGGAGAGAGGAAGGAAAAAGAAGGAAGAAAGGAAAAGAAGGATGGAAGGAAATGAAGGAAGGAAGGAAATGAAGGAAGGAAGTAAAGGAACAAAGAAACGAAGGAAGGAAAAAAAGAAGGAAGAAAGGAAAGGAAGGTAGGAAGGAAGGATTGAAGGAGTGAAAGATTGAAGGAAGGAAGGAAGGAAAGAAAGAAATGAAGGAAGGGAAGGAAAGGAAGGAAGGAAGGAAGGAACAAACGAACGAAGGATTGTAGGAAGGAAGGAAGGGAGGGAGGGAGAGAGGAAGGGAGAGAGGAAGGAAAAAGAAGGAAGAAAGGAAAGGAAGGATGGAAGGAAATGAAGGAAGGAAGTAAAGGAACAAAGAAACGAAGGAAGGAAAAAAAGAAGGAAGAAAGGAAAGGAAGGTAGGAAGGAAGGATTGAAGGAGTGAAAGATTGAAGGAAGGAAGGAAGGAAGGAAAGAAAGAAATGAAGGAAGGGAAGGAAAGGAAGGAAGGAACGAACGAACGAACGAACAAACGAACGAAGGAAAGGAAAGAAGGAAAGGAAGGAACGAACGAACGAAGGGAGGAAGAAAGGAAAAAAGAAGGAAGAAAGGAAAGGAAGGAAGGAAGGATTGAAGGAATGAAAGATTGAAGGAAGGAAGGAAACGAAGGAAGGAAGGAAGGAAAAAAGAAGGAACGAAGGAAAGGAACGAAGGAAAGGAACGAAGGAAAGGAACGAACGAAAAAACGAAGGAAGAAAGGAAAAGAACGAACGAACGAACGAACGAACGAAGGGAAGGAACAAAGGAGCGAAGGAAGGGAGGAAGGAAGGAAAAAAGGAAGGAAGGAAAGGAACGAACGGAGGAACGAAGGAAGGAAGGGAGGGAAGAAGGGAAAAAAAGAAGGAAGAAAGAAAAGGAAGGAAGGGAAGGAAAGGAACGAACGAACGAACGAACGAAGGAAAGGAAAGAAGGAAAGGAACGAACGAACGAACGAACGAAGGGAGGAAGGAAGAAAAAAAGAAGGAAGAAAGGAAAGGAAGGAAGGAAGGATTGAAGGAATGAAAGATTGAAGGAAGGAAACGAAGGAAGGAAGGAAGGAAGGAAGGAAGGAAGGAAGGAAAAAAGAAGGAACGAAGGAAAGGAACGAAGGAAAGGAACGAAGGAAAAGGAACGAACGAACGAAAAAACGAAGGAAGAAAGGAAAGGAACGAAGGAACGAAGGAAAGGAACAAAGGAGCGAAGGAAGGGAGGAAGGAAGGAAAAAAGGAAGGAAGGAAAGGAACGAACGGAGGAACGAACGGAGGAACGAAGGAAGGAAGGGAGGGAAGAAGGAAATAAAAGAAGGAAGAAAGGAAAGGAAGGAAGGGGGATTGAAGGAATGAAAGATTGAAGGGAGAAAGGAAACGAAGGAAGGAAGGAAGGAAGGAAGGAAGGAAGGAAGGAAGGAAGGAAGGAAAGGGACGAAAGAAGGAAGGAAGGAAAGAAAGGAAGGAAGGAGGGGAAGGAAGGAGGGGAAGGAAGAAAGAAAAGGAAGAAAGCAAGAAAAAAAGAAACTGTAGCATACAATTTATAGATAGAAAAAAACGCTAAAACTGGATAAAGCACACGGTGTAGTGGATAAACGTATGCTTTAAGAAGATCTAGTTACTTCGATGTCATGAGTTCGATATTGCAAATAAGAAATGGTGATGTCGCTGCTAATAATTTGAATTATTGTAATGCTTTTCCAATCATCCCACCTCTGCCGATGAAAGCCTGTAAGGAGCTACTGAGGGTGAAAGAAAATGAGAAAAGATTAGTGACGAGAAAGGACAATAAAAGAAAGGATTTAAAAAAATTAGCTGGTGATGAACGTTGCATTTAAATTTTTTCAAAATAGTTGTTTACAGGAAAGTAAGAAGCCGTAAGATTTGCACAGGCAAGACGTGCGAAAGAAGAAAATATTCTTAGTAGATCTTTTGGTAACATCTACCAATTTCGATAGTAAAATAATGAATCCTAGCTGTCACTCTATTACCACGTTTAAATTCATAAGGTCGAGGTATCAAAGGGGAAAGTTCATTTATGCGAATGTCAGTGTGTCACTGTGTCACACCTTTTCAACTTTACTCCTAGAGACCGTAGCTCAACATATTATACCATTTTGGAATCAGGCCAACTCCAAGAACAAATTAAAAACATTACAGGCCGGATCCTGGCCTGTAATCCTGAAATTTTGGATTCCCAAGTTTTTTTTATTATTGCGATTGTTTTCGATGAGGTTTTTTTACATGATTTTTTGCGACGAATTTTTTGTACGATAACAATTTTCATAACTAGGAAGTAAATTTGGGAATGATCGAAATGTATTGCGAAATCCAACGAAAATCAGCCATGAAATAAAAATAACTATACTGAAATTAAGGACCTACGTGCATCAAATTCTCTTCAAATTAAGCGGCGACCGAAGAATTATCGTTGAGCTTTTTAAATGGTGAGCTTAAATATTAATGCAATACTTAAATGCAGCGGTAAATTTTGAGTTCTTCTGTAATTTATTGTTACCTATCACATCTACTTTTCCCTACATATTGTGATAGAGGCCCAATCGTGAATATGACAATAAGTATGAGGATATTATACGATAGCAATTTTTATAACATGGAAATAAATTTGGGAGTAATTCAAATTACGGAAAATAAGGACCTACGTACATCAAATTGTCTTTACATTAAGTAGCGAATGCAACACTTAATCGCAGGAATCAATTTTCAGTGCTTCTATAGTTTATCACTGCCTATCGCATCTACTCCTTTCTACTTCTTGTGATGAAGGCCCAATCAAGAGATCTCCGCAGGAGCTAGCTTAAATACCACCCGATAGGGCTGTTTTTAATATAGAAAATAAGAAGAAAAGATACAGGGAAACTACAGTGGTGGGAAATGCATCTCTAAACATATCTACTTGGTAGGCGTTTAATTCTCCAGCTTCTGTCAATGAAGATGTCGTATCTCCATCACTATTAGGTTTCAATATAAATTACGAGAGTCAGCTGAAATCTACATAGGCTGACAAAAAAATACTCTAATGGAATGTGACCAAATGAGGTTTATTTTTCAACATAGTCTCCCTGGCGGTCCACACACTTCTTTCGTCCGTGTTTCAGTGCTTGGATTAGAGAGGGTAATCAACCAGTTGATAGCCACAGCCACGCTCAGCAACCATTGAAGGCAATGATTTATGTGCTGGAGTATTGTTCTGATTCAACCATATCCCTTTCATTAGTAGTAATGTAGCCATGGATATCCTTGTATGCTAAACCATTCTTCGGGTACACTTCCAATTTTTGTCAATTTTCAAGCGAAGTCGCTACTAGTAATTTTTGACGTTGTCTTTGGAGAGTCAGATATCAGTTTATCTGGAAAGAATCAATGTAATTGTTGATAAGAAGAGCTGAAGTTAATGCGTCTAATAGCGGGGTTTAAGGCACATACTGACTAACTAACCAATCAGATGTTTATTTTAATCTCTACACCCCATGCCACTATATCTCCAGCACCATTAGATTTTAAGATCGCCCCAAGGATGTTTTTGGTAAACTAGTTCGAATAAGCGCCATAGAAATTCCGAGGCTTGTATTAGGTTGGTGCAAAAATAATGACGTAATAATGTCGTTTTTTGACGTATTTTTTAACGTCAAAAAACGACATTCTTACGTCATTATTTTTGCACCAACCTAATAGTAGCAGTAAAAATTCTCTTCGCGTAATTATGGCATCGGAAATTTTGGCTAGAACCAATGATGAAAACGTTGAAGTATTATCTAATATAGATACGAACCCTCTCCTATCAGGACGTCCATGATAAGGCTCTAAAAAGCTCCTGCTTTTATACGACATATCCATTTCGAATGTATCTGATCATAGCTCTCCATATCTTCCTATATTTTGTTCTTTTAAGTAATTTTAACTATTCAACATCCTTTCTTGTCCTAGTTCTGGTATCCATTTTAACAAACTCATTAAGTAGTTTGCTCGTTGATTTCCCCTGCTTGCCTTCAATATGTCCTGTAAGTTTTAAATTCTAGCAGTCTTTCTTGTTTCTTCTGCGTCCCAGAAATATTAGCTGTCTCGTTTTTATTGTAAGTATGCATTTTTATGTAGTCCCTATTCTGCTTAAAGTATTTCAATATATCAAGCGAGCGTTAAATACTCCAAGCTCTCCTTCCTCCATTATTCACCCCAGAAATTTGAGTTTTTCTGATTGTTAGTATAAGTTTACTTTTAATTTCTTATTTTGCATTATTTGTCTGTCCTTGGTATTCACGGTACTAATCGACATAACCATATCCTTGTCGCTGCAAATGTCCCCCCACACACATACACAACACTAGCTATGGGTAAATAGCAAGACGGACTGACTCGTATAACCTTGGGTGGTAGCAGGTCTATGAGGACAAGTCTGAATTCAAAACCTCCTACCATGAGTTAAATAACCTCATATAATATCAATTTAGCAAGCGTGATGAGTACGGTTACACCGCTGAAGACAGGGTCATTCTGGGGGGGGGATTCCTCCAAGAAGTCAGATGGTTCTGAATTGGCACCAAGATTTGTTCTAGTGAGCTTTAATCATTGGTACACTTCTGTCATTGAATTAAAATATTTACACTCGCGCAGGAAAGGAAAAGCATTGAACAAGACCAAGCGAGACAAGATCAGGAATGTGGCAATAAGAGATATGGCCGGAGCAATACCAATCATACAACACATCGAACGCCAGAGGATCAAGTGGTTCGGACATCTCACTCGTATGCCTATCAACCAACCAGCCCTACGAACACACACTCTCAGGTACTCTAGCTGGAGAGCGAGAGGCAGACCAAGAAGACGCTGGAGCGATTCAGTGGCAGACACTCTCAGAGCCCACGAGATATCTCTCCTCCAGGCCACTCGCCTTGCCGCTGACAGCCGACTGTGTCTCCACGCGACGCCTAACAGCACAAGTGGAAGCAAAAACTACACTAAACACTCGCGTAAAACTACAGGTAAATGGATTAAATGAAAATAAAGAGCAAGGCTAATTTTCCTTTCTGTCCGGCAATAATGCCTGGACAACAGGAAAATAGTATAAGGCAAAAGGCTCACCGCTTTGAAACCATTTTCATGCCTATATCGGAAGTAAACATTAAACAATATATTTTTTAATCAATTATTAGGTCTGATTTCTAAGAAAGTTTGATCACTATGTCGTGCAAGACAATTTTTATCTTCACAATGTCTCTTACGAAGTCTACCATTCGTCCATACATTCAATATGGCTGCCACATATGGTTTGGCGCTCCTGCTATATATTTGCAGATCCTTGATAAAACCCAAAGAAGAATCTGCAATACTATTTGCCCTGACCTGGCATCTCGGCTTCAGTTCTTTTTCCCACCGCCGTAATTTAACTTCCTTCTACCTTTTTCTATAAATGCCTTCAGATTAATTATTCGTATGAACTTTTTTGATATCATACCTGTCCCATCTGGATTTAACCTCAACACCAGACTGGCGGCAAAATTAATCATCATTTAAAAGTTGAATTGGCTAGATGTAACCGTAAGTTCTATGCCAACAGTTTCTTCTCTGGCACTTCTCGCTTGAAGAACTCTCTCCCGGCTCCATGTTTTTTTTTTAGCCAACTTTGACCTTTAAACATTAAAATGCAATGTCAATCGTCATCTACTGTCTTCTTGATTCCACTTCTTTTATTTTTCTCCCTCCTTAATAATGTTTTTCTTTCTGTTATTCTCTGACGCTCAGTAACCCCTTGTGTCTTAGTGGCTTTATTGCCTCACTTGAGTTGAATTGATTTAAAAAGAAATATAGTATATTTAATGGACAAACAATTTAGATTTGAAATTTGATCACCAGTTAAGCGACTGGTACCGAAGTAGCTATCTTGAAAAAAAAATAGATGTATATCGTATAAAATAAAAGCCTGTCGTGTAGCAATTGATCTACCTATGCAGGTGCATTGTTTTGTGAGTTAGTTTTGTTTCATTAGCTAATAGAGAGATTAGATTGCAACGCTCAGGCAGCTGATTATTTTTTTTTTTCGTATATCCAGGAAATCGATATTCTTTTGGATTTGTTTGAGATAACAAGAAACTTCCATTGGTTTATTGAATGATGTTTATATTCAATATTGGCAAAATGCATTTAAATGTTGCTCTCAAAAATAAAAAATAAAAATATGCACCGTTTTCTTTGTAAAAGAACAAATCTTTAATCGGGGAATGGGACTCGAACGTGAATCGCTCGTTCTTATTTTCATTACTTAATACAATACAGGGGAGATGATTCATCATTAAATAATTCAGACTGAAGTAATATTTATAATATGTAGAGAGATATGAAGAGACTGAGATAGATAGATAGATAGATAGATAGATAGATAGATAGATAGATAGATAGATAGATAGATAGATAGATCTGAACAGCCTGAGATAGATAGATAGATCTGAACAGCCTTAGATAGATAGATAGATAGATAGATAGATAGATAGATAGATAGATCTGAATAGCCTGAGATAGATAGATAGATAGATAGATAGATAGATAGATAGATAGATAGATAGATAGATAGATAGATCTGAACAGCCTGAGATAGATAGATAGATAGATAGATAGATAGATAGATAGATAGATAGATAGATCTGAACAGCCTTAGATAGATAGATAGATCTGAACAGCCTTAGATAGATAGATAGATAGATAGATAGATAGATAGATAGATAGATCTGAACAGCCTGAGATAGATAGATAGATAGATAGATAGATAGATAGATAGATAGATAGATAGATCTGAATAGCCTGAGATAGATAGATAGATAGATAGATAGATAGATCTGAACAGCCTGAGATAGATAGATAGATAGATAGATAGATAGATAGATAGATAGATCTGAACAGCCTTAGATAGATAGATGAATCTGAACAGCCTTAGATAGATAGATAGATAGATAGATAGATAGATAGATAGATAGATAGATCTGAATAGATGGATAGATAGATGAACAGATGAGATAGATAGATAGATAGATAGATAGATAGATAGATAGATCTGAATAGCCTGAGATAGATAGATAGATAGATAGATAGATAGATCTGAACAGCCTGAGATAGATAGATAGATAGATAGATAGATAGATAGATAGATAGATAGATAGATAGATCTGAACAGCCTTAGATAGATAGATAGATCTGAACAGCCTTAGATAGATAGATAGATAGATAGATAGATAGATAGATAGATAGATAGATCTGAATAGCCTGAGATAGATAGATAGATAGATAGATAGATAGATAGATAGATAGATAGATCTGAACAGCCTGAGATAGATAGATAGATAGATAGATAGATAGATCTGAACAGCCTGAGATAGATAGATAGATCTGAACAGCCTTAGATAGATAGATAGATAGATAGATAGATAGATAGATAGAAACAAGTTGAAATATATATTTATCGCCATAGATCAGCAGATATTAACAGTCTTAGATAGATAGATAGATAGATAGATAGATAGATAGATAGATAGATAGATTTTCATTGGCAAAATGCTAAGTAAATTTATTTTTAATCACCTTAGAATTTTATATGACTTAACATAGTATTTAACTAGTTGACAGTATACAAATATGGAATATTTATTTGAATGTCTTTTGTGTGTGTGTCATGTACTCTTAGAACGTGCAGGGCGTCGCGTTTCTCGATGCCTCCACACCAACAGACTATTGTCAGTGTGAAGGAGAATGCCGTAATAACAAAAGAAGCTTTTCAGAATCTGTGAAAGATACTCATTTCTCGATGTGTCATGTCTCTTCAATAAATGGCTCTCCACCACCCCGTCACTTCTGTTGCACTAAGTAACCCTTACACTTTACCAACACTTTTCGTCTTTGTGGTCATTGACGTGACGTTAGTTTCCCCAGGGTTATTAACGGCCAATCTTTCAAATCTTTTTTCATTAATGCAGGTGCCCTACCTAGGAACCTATTAATATTTAAACTTATTAAAATTTTCCGCTGTCATGAATTGGGAAGATTATAATGTATAAATTGCTAAGTAACAGGAAAATAATATAAGGCAAAAAGGCACGCCGTTTTGGAATGACTTTCATGCCTCCATCGGAAGTAAACATTAAACAATATATTTTCTAATCAATTACTAGGTCTGATTTCTAAGAAACCTGTGCCACCTTGTTGTACAAGAAAATTTTTATCTTCATAATGTCTCTTACATATTTCTAAGTCTACCATACTTTCAATATGGCTGCAACATATGGTCTGACGCTCCTGTTATATATTTGCAGATTCTTAATAAAACCCAAAGAAGAATCAGCAATATTATTCGTCCTGACCTGGCATCTCGGCTTCAGTTCTTTTTTTTTCCCACCGCCGTAATTTATTCTCTCTCTACCTTTTCTCCCAGTGACCTATCTTTGAACCTATGTGGTTTCTAATTTTCATTAACGACATTCCGGAAGCCATGAGTTCACACCTCGGCATCTATGCTGATATCACAAACTCTTTACTCCATATTATCAGCCATATTAAAAGTATGGACGAATGGTAGATTTAGAAATATGCAAGAGACATTATGAAGATAAAAATTGTCTTGCACGACATAGAGAAATAGGTTTCTTACAAAACAGACCTAGTAATTGATTAGAAAATATGTCAGTAAATCTGATCAGTTCAATAAAGTCAAATTGGCGGTTGATTTTTTAAAAGAAAAAGGGCCCGTAATCTGTTGTTAAATGGGGCAAGCAGTGGCTTATTAATTCTAACGTCTGAATGAGTAAATTTCTCTCTTTTAGGTGTTTAGCATGATGTAGAATGACACTGATTGTGTTGTATGGCTCAGTTTCTTTTGTTGAATAAAGCCTTTCTTAAAGTTATCGCCATCTTGTCTTCTGCTGTTGTTTTTGAATTGCTTTTAAATTCATTGTTCTTTTAACTATCTGTATAAATGTAAATAACATTTTCTCTTTCTCTAGGGCGGCTAGTCAATCTCTGTTGCAGACGCCTGCCCTGGTATATCTGCGTTTGTTTAACACCTGCAGAGGCCAACTGTGATTTATACTGCAACTTTGCTTTACAGTCCTTAGTTACAGTCTCTGGGAGAGAGCTCATTATCTAGCGTGATCAACAGTCTGAACAAGGCCGGGACACTCAAAGCCTTGGTTACAATGATTTGTGCATTTGTGCTAGCACAACCATTGACGGCTCCCAAAGAGTCCAGTCTACCCAATTTCACTTATAAAGATTGGCTATGGTGTTATGAAATGAACTCTTCCTTTGTGCTTTGTATGTAAATTTATTGTATGCAAAGGAATATACATTTTCTTTTAAAAATTCTGCTGTATTTTGGTTGAGGGGATGATGTGGAGAGTCATCAATAGTGTCATTCGGCTCAGTTTCTTTTGTTGAATAAAGCCTTTCTTGTTTTCCTGCTGTTTCTGATTTTGGAGGGATTTTTTTTTTGTTTTTTTTTCTTGTTTTTTTTAGGGGGTTGTTTTACAGTCATATCTACCACATTTACCCAATGCCAACAAGATTTTTATTACTGGTAATATTTTTGTTCAAAAATGTATTGCTGGCAATATTTGTTTTCCTTCAGAAATGTATTGCTGGTAATAATGTATTCCTGGTAATAATTTTTTCCTTCAAAAATTCATTGCTGGTAATAATTTCTCCCAAAAAGTATTGTTGGTACTAAAACCTATTTTTACATTTTCATAGTATTTTGACTCCAGTTTGGGGGTTAACTATTTACCCATAGATGGGACCCTAACATGTGCTACGACTCCGAGTTAGGGTGGACCTGGGAACACCAGCAATTAAGAGGTGGTTCCACGCTCATCAAAATCTCCTGACCAGAGGCCTTGGTGTCGGATGTAGTTTATTTTCTTACCCAAGATTCGGATGTAGTTTATCGTCTTACGCAGGACGCAGATGTAGTTTAGCGTCTTACCCAGGACGCGGATGTATTTTATTCTCTTACCCAGGACGCAGATGTAATTTATCGTCTTACCCAGGACGCGGATATAGTTTATCGTCTTACCCAGGACACGGATGTAGTTTATCGTCTTACCCAGGACGGGGATGTAGTTTATCATCTTACCCGGGATGTGGATGTAGTTTATCGTCTTACCCAGGACGCGGATGTCGTTTATCATCTTACCCAGGACGCGGATGTAGTTTATTGTCTTACCTAGGACGCAGATGTAGTTTATCGTCTTACCCGGGATGTGGATCTAGTTTATTGTCTTACCCAGGACGTGGATTTAGTTTATCGTCTTACGCAGGACGCGGATGCAGTTTATCGTCTTACGCAGGACGCAGATGTAGTTTATCGTCTTACACAGGACGCAGATGTAGTTTATTGTCTTACCCCGGAGTGGATGTAGTTTATTGTCTTACCCATGACGCGTGTGTAGGACGTATTTTATCGTCGTACACAGGACGCTTTTGAATTTCTTTTAAATTCATGACAATGAATATATAAAAGAGTAAAATGTAAAGGTATTGATATTTTTAATTTGACTTTTTTTGTAGAATAATGTTGATAAACTCAAACGGAAAATATTTAATTCATAATCCATAATCCATCCGCGAATTATAATTAAGCAAGATGAGAGTTATAAAAGTTGACAGGAAAACAAGAAGCCAGAAAATAGTTCAACAAGTTGGCTGAAAAGCCAGAAGCCAGAAGGGATTTCTGCAAGTTCAGAAGAAAGCAAGAAAACAGAAGAAAGTTATTCTTCAGAGGAATGGACTTTTGATTATTAAACTATATTTTTTGATCCGTTCTAGAAAGTTCAAAGTTTTCTTTAAAATATATATATATATATATATATATATATATATATATATATATATATATATATATCATATATATATTTGCATCAGACGCGTAGGGAAAAGATTACTAAAGGAAATTTCAGTGTCTTTTTGCGGTAAAAAGATAGTAACTTTAAATCAAATGTACATTTTTCTTTTTTTCTTTTAATTTCTAAATTTTTTTCTCCTCTTACTCGTCAGTCTGTTTGACTATCGTAACACATTTGTTTTTGTCGAAATCATTCTAACCTTTAGTTATAATCCTATTTGATGGTTTAGTTAGAAATGCCGGTTCGAAAGAAAAATCATAAAAAAGGAAAATTGAATGTCTTTGGCTATATGCGAAAGTGTCTCGTCAGTATTCTCATGATCTAGTTGGCCGAATTTTCTCGCTAGATAAAATGTACGAAAATGGAATTGTTTTCGCCGTTTCTTTCTCCTGTTGTTCTTAATTTTATTGAAAGCATGTCTCACAAGCCCACTGTTGGTAGGGGCGGAGGATTGGCCGTTGATCCCCCCACCACCACCAGCCTTGCGTTTCGTTGGTAAGCCGTACATTCACTGGTTATCATAAGAAAGAAAGCGGACAAGCAATCGCTGCCACGTATGGTGTGGCATTTATTATGACATAGCAATAAATCCGGATAACCTTATTTTCTTCCATTTCTTTTTTTTTAATAGGACAATGGGACTTATACTAGATTAAAGATTAGTGTTTTCAACCCCCTCTTATCCTTCCCTTTGTTTTTGTCCTTCTTGTATGTGTTATATGTAATAGGAGTAGGTAGGCTTTCCTACCGACCGGTCAACACTCCTCCCACTTCTCTTGGACATGAGTAGAGGCTTACGCCTTGTTTCTTGTTTAGGAAGGAGTTCCTGGTACTCTCTCTCTCTCTCTCTCTCTGGCCTCTTTACTAGTGCAACTCTGTTTCTCCGTGATGTGTGCAGTCCGTGGCATCACCTCTTCATTCTGAGGGTACACGGTTGACAGTTCTCTGGTTGCTGTTTCCGACTGGTAGTTAGGAGCCCTAATTCTTGCGTAGCGTCTTCAGCGGCCGCTCTGATCAACAGTTGTATAATACCGGGGTGTTTGTAGTGCCATGTCGCGCATGGAAAGGTGTCCCTGCAGTCACCTCCAGTGGGCAACCCTCAGGCCACATTATGATGCAGGCTGTGCCATCTGCTCTCTGCCCACATTACGGTCGATAACTGTCTGCTTCTTTTACATCGGGCCTTCTCATCTTCCAACCATAATTCCACATGATGACTTACAAAGACCGAAAAATTAATCCTAAACCAGCCACTCAAAAATCACCTAAACCCCTCAACATTTCGTTCTCCAACATCCGTGGCGTTAGAACAAACTTCTGCAGTATGGAATCTTTCCTCACTGCAAACGGACCGGATATACTGGCTCTCTGTGAGACCAACCTTGTCTCGTCTATCCCCTCCCCTGATCTCTCGATCCCAGGCTACCTTCCTCTCCTCAGAATAGACTCTCTAACCCACATGCACGGTCTTGATATCTACGTCACGGACCATCTCCCTCTGGCCAGAGAGCTGTCTCTCGAATCGCCTGACCAGTCGTACATGTGTCTCCGGCTATCTCTTCTCAATGCGGTAAGCT